TATCCGCGAAGGGATAATTCGGAGGATTAATCGGATTTTCAACTCGGCAATCTCCAAGCGGATCAAGATGAATCGAGGATACGCGAACGAATCGGCGGAGGTTAACGCGGATCGGCGGACAAGGTCGAGGATCGATCTCGGGATAAACGGGCAAATAGAAGCGTCGCGGGTAGATAAATTGACAGGGTGAGGGCCGTAGTTGGAAAGTGAGAAATTCTCGCGGGTCGATGACACCAGCTTCCCTCCGCGCCTCTTAACCGCGTCTCCGCCGAAACTTTTCAATAAAGCTGGCCTCGCTTTCCATACGTTCCGCCAAACTTTCGAAGGCACTATCGTTTCTACGCAACATTTGCTGGATTTCCCTCAGAACGTCGCGGATTATCATTCTTGATCTTCTTTCTTTCGGCCTTCGAAACTTTCTTCTTTGGGGAGGGGGATCTTCTTGTTCCATCCAGCTGAGAATCCCGTTGGGATAAAATTGATTTGTCCACAAGCCAGAAAAAAATGTAATTGCGTCTCGTTTATTATAACTCTGACTTAGGATTAGATTTGTTCTTCGATTCATTCTTTTAATTCCTTAGTCGATTCGATTATTTATTCTTTGTAACGGAGAGGCTATTTCAAGATCATCTTGCAAATCCTTCAAAATTATTTGAGCTCTTTTCGCTTTCATGTTACGTCATGACGATGATTTTAAATTTACAGGAGAGTGAAAATCAACGCAACAAGATCGATATAAAATTATTACGCCAAGCTTGCTTTCAAAGAACCCAGAAAGACCGTATATCTGAATTAAAATGGCCAACTTCCGAGAGAATCGCGGAAATTTTTCAAAGTATATCGCCATAATTGTAAGAAGCGTAAAGCAGGTCGTCCAACTTTTCCGCAACGACCGTGACTTTTTTCCGCATTCACGGACGTACCACAAGATAAATAATATCTTCCCCGGCCATCGTGAAATACGCGTAACGATCCCTCTCTCTCTCTTACTCTTTCCCTCTCTGGTTCCAGTTCCGTTCCGTATTCTCCACGAGGTATGGCGCGATACCGTCTGCCAAGCGGTCTCTCTACCTCTCTAACTGGCTACGCCGCTAATTGCCGTCCGTATAATTACCATATCGGACAGATAAATATAGGGCTGCCTCTGGTACACGTTCTAGCCTCGGAGACAGTCGGCGACGTTTACGTCTCCGCTCTGTATTAAGGTCCACGGGCGTGCGCCACGGAGATATACACGGAGAGAGGGGAAACCAAGCGGGGTGATGGCCGAGACGTTTGTAATTCTACGAATTTTTTTCCTCACAACTTTTATTCCCCGGCACAGAGATATATATATATATATAAAGTTGTCGAGGTGGCGGACAATTCAAAGGTGGGTTGAAACGTGAGGTTTCAATGGGCGTTAAAATGGGCAAACGAGAGAGAGGAAAAGGTAGGAGAGAATCGCTTCGAATGTTTGTATTCGCGACACGCGTACGCCTCTCTCGGATACTTTTAATAACTTTAATCCGTGGTTTAACCGCGAGAGGCAAGACGATTTGCCCTCGTACAAAGGTTTAATGGCACCCTTTTACGACCGATCTTCTTCCTCCCCCCTTTTTTTCCCGTTCGCAAATACGAACGATAAATAGCCACGGTGACAGGATACAATTAAAAGAAGCTATTCCGACGAGTCCTTTGTCAGGATTAAGCCAGGAAAACCCTATCTCTCTTTCTAGGTTCATTCCACATCCTTCGTGTCTCGCATGCTCGCCCCGCGATAATAGAACACGTCTCATCGAGAGGAGGATCTTTTCGATCCTCCTCTACGCGAATGAAAACCCTTCCCAGGCGAATCCATTATTACAAAAATAACCTTTATCTCTTCCGCGCTCCGACAATGGATTATACTTTCGAGGTTCGTGTGTAATAATCGTCTTCGTAGAGAAGACGTCGTCGTATCGCGAATCGTCGTACCGTGGCCAGAGAGGCATCCACGATACGACACTTCCTTCCTTCCCCCGTGAAAGGAAACGAAAGGGAGGATAAAAGAGAGACATAAAAATATTTGCCATACGCGTAGGAGGGACGATTGAGGGGAACGAAGTTGTAACCGGGCATCACCCTAATTTTCCCGGGAGCGATGTTTAATGCGTTTTCCCTCCGTTTCGTTCCATTTTCAGCCGGGACACCAGAGGGAAAATTATCGCGGCGCCGCCGCGCCGACGCTCGAAGCGAAAACCAGACCTCCAACCCCCTCTTTTCTTCCGACGCGGGAAACTTTCTCTTCCGACCGGACGGGAGGCAACTAATCGCGCGCCACGACCGCGGTGATGGCTAATTAGCGTTCCCGGAAATGAGTCGTGCCACCGGGAATTAATATCTCCAGCTCCCTCTCCACTCGCAGCGGGATCTCGCGGCGAATTTCGAGGCGTTAAAAACCCCTTCAATCCGACGAATTGACAAAATTACCGGTGTTTTTCATTCGAATCTCGAGAAAAAGTATCCCTCGAACTTGGTTAAACTTCAATATGAGCGAATTCTTTTGTTAAAAGTCTTGGCTAGTTCGTTACAGAATTCGTTCGTGCAATAAGATCCATCCAAAGGAAATTTTGCTGCCGACACGATGGTTTGAAATTGGAAAGACGATGTGTATAAAATAAAATTAAAAAGTCAAAAAGTCAGGAAAAAAGTTCACGGTTAACTAAAAAGAAAAAAACTAGGAGTTAAGATTAATTATCGTAACGCGTAATGTGGATATCATCGCGTAATTTTGAAAGGATATTTCGAAATTAGCAGGGAGAGGGGGCGAAAGTGTTAAAATTGGAAACGGGGGTGTAATACAATGATCGAAGGAACCGCTGAATAACAGAGTCGGTTCGAAATTAAGGGGTCGGACTTATTAACGGGACACCGAAATAATTAAATTTCGACGGCCGACCCCGATATTACGAGCAATGACCGTCGAAGCAACGAGGCTTCGTCATTGTCTGGCTAGTTTAACGTCGCTATAACAGCAACATCCCTCCCCTTGCACAGACAGGGAGGAAGGGGTCGCGCGGCCGAAACACAACGGGGCTTTAGAGCGGAGGGGTTGTTACTCGTAAATCGCACCCTATCTGAACCGACGTCACTGCGGATATGGCAAATGTCGGGCGTAACGACGCGGCTCTATTGTCAAAAAGTGAAAATTCAAATAAAACGGGACAAGCGAAACGCATCGGTGGCGCCAGTCGGGCTGCAAGCGAAACGTGGCCATTTTTGATCACGCGTTGCATATCTCCTAGATGCAGAAAGTGAGAGAGAGTGAGTTAATTGCTCGAGCTCGTTAATGTAACGTAATATCGGGTATAGGTTATAGCCATAAGTTTAGCTCGCGATCACGTCCACCAGCGCAGTGAGATGGAATCGTGTTCTTTCGCTAATTACCTCCGCGATTATCCTCTTAATCGCCGGCTCGATTATAGCTGCATCGACCTCGTGTGTGGAATCCTTCGTCAAAGTGCCAAAACGTATGCTAGATCTAGATTCCAATCCAATTTTCAATATATATTTTTTCCACGAATTCTTCACTCTTTCTTTTAACAATGATTGTAAAGGTTATCTTAATCCCCTCAAAAAACTCTTCTCTTTTTTTAACGAATATATTAAAGAATAATATATAATTCGAAAGAGTTATTAAAAAAAGAAAAGCTCACAATTTTCACAATTTCCAAAGCGCAAACCATCGTCATCCTTTTTCTCATCGCGATTCCTTCATTTTTGGACTCGTGCCAGAATCGTGCCCTCTCTTCTCCTTATTGCGTTTCACTTCGTAGACTTTTCGGCTCCGCGGTGGCTGCGGAGAAATTTCAGTTTATGCAAGCTTTCGACGCGAGTGCAGTCGGTGGTGGATTGTCCGCTGCTCAGAGGAGGGGATAGAGAAACGGGGCAACGAGACGATCTGTCGAAGTTGAAACACACAAGCTTCTTTGAATTGCATAATAACGGCGGGTCGCCGTCAGGGCTGATGCTAATGGCAGCGAAACTTTCTCGAACGAACTCGGAAACGCGCGCGTCGAAACTATCGCTCTCTCTCTCCTGTCTGCACCCCTTTTGCCGAGAAAAAGTCTCGGTATTCGATAGTAGGGAATAAGGGGCCGTGCATTAATTGCATCTAAGGCAATCGTTTTACCCCTGCTAGTTTTTCACCCTTCCATAGATTGCTCCGTTTACTACTCCACAGACTTGTTTGCCCTCGTTGAAACGCATGTAGATTACCTTTTGTCGAAGAAGCCTTTGTCGATCCGAAACGATCGATCGATCGATCCGTTTCGGTGACGGTTCTCCCTTTTGTCGCGATAAAGAGGAATTGTATCTATTTCGTTCTGTAAAAAAAAAAAAAAAAAAAAAGAAATGCATTCAAAGCGATATTTGAACGAATGTCGAGATCAAACGATACTTAATAATGTCGATCCTTTCCGAATTGCAATTTCCTTTGATGATATTGAAATGGGTTCTTCTTATCTTCTCTTGTGTACAAAGAAAATTGGAAAAATTGATTCGCAATCCCTGTCATATTGTCTTCTTTTGATTTTTTCAAGATAAAGAAGAATGATCCTTTCGGTTACCGAGATACCGTAAAAATTGATCAATGAAAACAATTAAAAATCAATTATTTCACGTGTATTCTCTAACTCGATTTATCGACGATTCTAATTCTTTAAATATTCCATTTAGTTTTTATCGAATTGGAGCCGATATCCTCGAAACAATAATCTCTTCCTCCCCCCCGTTTTCTTTTCTCACTGATTACGCAAAATGGCAGGCCATCGCTCAGCCGAAAGAGCGTTCCGCGAAACCTTTATTTCCGCCTGGCTCCCTAATGGAGCCTCGCTTCTTTTCTCCCTTCCACGTTGAAACTCTACCGCGGGATTGCCGGAGTGTTTTATTGTCCGCGTTCCGTTTAAGCGAGCACAACGATCTCGTGTTTCGTGGCTTCTCCCCCACTGACCATTCTCCACTTTCTTTTCTTCTTCCAGGGATCTGAGACCGGCGAGCTTGGAGAAAGGCCAAGAGACCCTTCGACTACGAGTGTACGCTTGCTACGCGTGGGGTGGCCCCCTTCTGGTCGCCGGTTTGGCCGCCCTTCTCGATCATCTTCCGCCACAACCTCAGTACACGTTCCTCAGGCCCCGTTTCGGCGTGAAACAGTGCTGGTTCTATGGTAAGTTCATATTTCTTTCTTCTTTTAATAATAAGAATAATAATAATTCTTGCGGAGAGGATCTCTCGAATTTTCTTCTTTGCCGGAGGAGAAGATTTCCTCTTTGTGAAACACTCTAACTAAATTAATTTTTATTCATTGGAAAAAAAGAAAAAAAAAAGGAATAGCGAGAGAATGCTTTCGAATTTCTTTCGATCATTGGTCAAAGGAAACGTCGGTGCGCATTTCGGCGTGAAAAAATGCAGGTTCTTAATAAATAATCTTTACGAGGTCGTAAAGAGGATTTTACTCCTCGTTGAAAAGAGATCTCGGTACTTTTTTAAGGCCCCTTTTGAAATAATACTGGTGAATTCGTTATGAAAAAAAAAAAAAAAAAAAAGAAAGAGAGAAAAGAAAAGAAAGAGAAAAAAATCACCAACTCGTACAGAGAATCCTTCGAATTTTTATCTCGTCAAAGGAGACTTTCGTATTTCTTCGAGCAAGGAGCAGGTCACTGAAATTTTCTTCTCGTCAAAGGAGAGCTCGGTACACTCGTTTTTTCAGGCCCCGTTTTTTCGACGTGCTACGGTTCTACTTGTAAAAAAAAAAGAAAGAAAGAATCAACGAAGTAGAAAGGATTCTTCGAATTTTCTTCTCGTCAAAGAAAACCTCGGTACATATTTCTCAGATTTCTATTTCGGCGCGAAACAGTGCCGGTTCTGTATCGAGTTGGCTTTCATTCGTCTAAAAAAAAAAAAAAAAAAAGAAAAAAAGAAAATCCTTGCAAAGTCGCGAAGAGAACCCTTCGAATTCCTCTCGGTCACCGAAAACTTTCTACTTGTCAAAGGAGCCTTGACTTTAATCAAAGCTCCGCTGGGATCTCTCCCTTTCTGATTACCTAAAGAGGGCGAAAATTCGAGTGGGATGATCCGAGAAGCGTTGGACTCGATGCCAGTGAACGGAAGAGTAATAACCAGAAAATTTCGCGATCGCGAATGTTATCGAGCTCTCTCTCGTTTCTTCTGTTTTCGAGGAAAATCAACGCAGTGATTTTTCAAAGTAACGTCTGGTCGTGGTAGATCAAACAAACCGTTTCGATATTTTATAAACCGAGAAATCTAAGAAAAGATTAACTGGCGGGGAACAGAGACAGAAGACCGATCGTGGAGGAGGCGAAGACGCATTGCAGATATCGTCTCGTGTCAAAAATTCTGAGTAAAAGTGGGATCTCGCTCGTAAGCTTACGTCTTTCTTTAGCTTCCTCGAATAAGATGAATGCTTGTAATATTCGATTCTTAGAATTACACTGCTACACTTTTGTTGAAACTTTCCAAGGATTATCGAAGTAAGGAAATTTGTTACCTCAAAGGTAAAAATCTACAATTCTACCGTTCAATTTTTATATAAAAGATACCTTCGAATTCGTATTATCACGGTCTTAGCTCGAAAGGATTAAAGTTACCTAGGATTAACCAGAGCTCAAGCGGGATTAAAGCAAGTTTTTTAGGATTAAAGTAAAAATTTAGCACGTTCGAAGAGTAAACCCTCTACAATTTTATATGAAACACAGCTAGCGATACGCGAAACGGATATTACTTTAAGAAAAAAAAAAAAAAAAAAAAAAGAATATGAGAAGAATATTCAAAAATTTGATCCGAAAAGAAGAGACTAAGCTGGATCGTATATATTGGTTATAGAGATCGAGTGGCGCCAATGAGACGATGCTTCCAGTGATGATAATTAATCCGCTCTGTACGAACACCGCAAATTAATTCGATCGCGTCACACACGACTTGATCAGTGAATTAATTTCCGTCGATGCATGAATGCGAAACCTCGTGGATCCCAACCTTTCTCTCTCCCTCTCCCTTTCCCTCTCTCGTTCTCCGATTCTATCCTGTTGTTCTCGAACGACAGTCGGTGGCGGACTTGCTGACATTAGTAACGGATCAGTAGCACAGACGGTAATGGAGCCTATTATCGAAAGTAATACAGGCCGGGAGGAGGACGGTTAACACGTAATTCCCTGTGATCCGATTATTCCGCTAATTAATAGGACTGGTCAATCGTGTTCCGGGGCGCTGATTAAATCGGTTTCGTTAATCGATGGATCGATCGGCTAGCCGCGTATTAATTGCTAATCAAGCACCAGTTTGCGGCTCCCTCCTCTCGTCGTCACTGCGCCAACAGTAAAAAATTTCGAAATCTCCCCTTTTTTTCCACCAATCGATCGGTGGAAATTAATATTGTAATTCGTTATAACACGTGTACGTAATTACATGATACATTTATCTTATTTTTATGGCAATCGCTTCGATACGTGTAAATAGATAGTGCGTACCGATAATTCTAGCGTTAAGTACAATGATGACACGAAAGAGAAAAAGGTAAATCCAAATTTGTTATAATATTTCAGATTTTTTAGTTTATCGATTGTTCCAGCTGTCGATAAAGAAATGTCACTCGAAGAAAATCGAGTATTATTATAGAAAATTAAGGTACAAATTTTATTGATTGTCAAATACTTCACGAAAGAGACGAGTTAACGTATAATTATCATATCCCTCGATGGCGCCAACGATTCGAAACGACTACGCGCTATCCATAAAAAAAAATTTCCACTTCGCAGAAGAGTTATTTCTACGAAACGATTTCGTGGAAAATTCCCTCATCCATATATCCACCTCTATTTTTCCTGGACCCGTTAAACCCATAAATCGTAATTAAACGATGGTTAATTATATATAGACTTCCTCTTCTCTCCCTCCCTCCTTTAAATCTCGATGATCAAGGAAAAAACGAAGGAGAAAACGAAGGAAAGTCGATGCGGTGGCTAATAGCGAACATTTCGTTAAGAGGATTATATCCATGGCCCAAAATATCTCGTTATAACGTGTGTATGTACCCACATTTTCCATTTCCCTTACTCCCCCTGTGGAGCACCATTACCTCCCCCGAGGCATACGTATGTATGCACAAGCGTCGTAATCAGTTGAGATAAGAAACAATGGCACACGGTATCAGGACCCGCGTACCGGCAGGCGCAGGAATACTTCGCTAAGAGGATTACACGGATTGTAGATGCGTTGCCGAAAGATTGTATTTAAGTATGGGGCAGGGTAGCCGAATAAGAAGATCGATATTACTACCCCTCCTCCCAAAATACGTTTAATACCTCGAATCCCTAATAATAACCCCCCCTCCTGTGCGATGGACCGAACCACCAGCTTTCTATTCGTGTACACGCGGGGAATAGAGGATAATAAGGAGGTGAACGGCGATGTCGCGTCTTTATTCGCGGCCCAGGCCACGATTTCAGCCTATTTAACGAGCATCCCCCCCCGTAATCCACATCCACTGCAACCCGTAATCCGACGAGCATACTCTCTACATCTCTCTCTCTTTATCTTCCTCTCTGCTCGTACGAACCAATGGAACTCTCCCCCGTAAATACTCGTTTCAAACAGTGTGCTTGCTACTACGTCGTCGCGTATTAATTTCCCGTGGTCGCGATATTTATCGACGCCGGCCGGAGGAATTACGCACCCCTCCCCCCTCCCTTCCTCTTCGATGATTAATATTTAGCTTTTATATCCTTTGACAAATATAAACGTCGCCGGTCGCGTGTATTTTCGTTTCGGTTTCCGCACGGTGTTCGCACGAATGATTTTCGGTGTAAAAAACGGCCCCCTCCATCTCTCCCTCTTCGTTCGATTTTCGGCTTTCGCTCTCTCCCTCCCTTTTTTGCGCGCGCGTTCTATCGATTTCTCGAGTCCTCGATTCCATCGATTACAATTCCACGCGTAATTTTAGGAGAGTTGGAGAGTTAAAGAGGGATGTTTTCGAAGGGGAAGTTGAACCCGAGTCGTTTCTGCAATCGCGGAACGGTGGATTCTTGGAGCGACGCCATCGCGAGACCCCTGATCTCTGTCTGTCTCTCTCTCTCTTTCTCGTTCGTTCGTTCGTTTACTCGCCTTTTAGTCGATCTTCATTAGTCCCGAAACTGTTTTCAGCGGGAGAGAAATTGAAACTCGCTCGGTTGCCAAGTACAGATGATATCGAGGCGCCTTTTCAAGTAAGCTGCACGGCGAGGCTCTGGCCCGAGCGCCAACCAAGATAATATTAGATTTATCGTCAAGAGCTCATTGAAACGCCAACAGTGGGAACTCGCGACGCGACGCATTGTGCAACGTGGGCTGCGGGCACACCGCACGGAGCCACCATTGAGAAACACAATCAGTCATCAAGCATGCGGCCCATTCAAAACACACTCGACTCGTGGAACGCTTGTGCTCGATGTTATTGGTAAATATACGAAGCTTGTTGGAACCACTCTCGAGTTAAACATCGCCACGAGTATGCCGCCTCTTCGCGGCCAACCTACATTAATTGCACCGCGACGATCCTTGTTTATATATCTCTCTCTGCCCCAGTAACTTTGCCTCGTTTCTCAAATTTGCACGCAGGACGAGACCAGTGAAAAGTTGAAAAGATGATTCTAGAGATTCAAAAAATTTTTAAATTACATTGTTATCCTTATTTTGTTCAATTCGTCTGCTGCGTAAAAGTAAAATCTTTTAATCTGTGCGTTATCTACGATAGATTCCAACGATTCTTCCGAAATTTTTATTTCATTTGCCGGAAAATGCTTCCCATTGCGTATCAACAACATCCCTATAATCGATCCTCGTGCAACTATACCAAGCGTACAGATTCGAGGATTCTTGTTAAGAGAGACGATCGAAAGCAGATAGACGAGAATGGCGCGTCTTCGTGTCACGTAATCACGTAGGACGAACGTGGAAAGAAAGAGAGGAAGGGGTGGAATGAAGGTGATGCACTCAAACGTGTCAATTCGCTGGCCCGACCACGCGCTCTTTCTCCCTTTTTCGCGCAAATAAAGCTAAGCTGGACAAAGGAGTGGGCGTATAGCCGGGAAAACGCGTACGGGAAATAGAGTCGTAGCCGCTGTGTGCCGCTAAATCAGGATAATGGTGCCCCATGGGAGGCTGCGTCGTACT